CCAGCACGACAAATTAACTAATGACTAAGTATTTGGTGGTTGACTGCCTGGAATTGTTACTCCCTAGAATTTTCTCTCAACCCTAAAATACATTTGGCTTGGTTTTCTCTAAAATCTGAAACTTCCAGGTCCTACCTAGTAAATGGATTGCGGCATTTCTAAGCTTATCAGAAGAGTCATTGTCATCCTCATCAGTTGTGTTTTAATTGTTTCATTATTTTAAAGGAGCTCTTCCCTCCTACCAGGCCAAGAAGAGGAATCTCTGGGCTAGACAGGGATATCGTGAACTCTGATAAACTAACAGAGTCCAAGCAATTATACATCAGTGTGGACACAGGTAGAACAAAGAATGGTTGTGGTTTTCTTTTTGAAGCAGGTGCTCTTTTCTTTGAAAATTTCATTGAAATCATTGTGGATGGGCTTGCCGCTCTAAGAAATGACTCAGAGACCATGTGCCCTTTGTGCTGTCCCGGCCAGTAATAACGTTTTCCAAAGGTCTAGTACAGTAAGTATCTTGTGCTTGGCTAGTGGAGGATTTTGGTGCTGAAACAATCCGCCTTCTTCAGGTGCCCCAGGGTAGCCGGTTCTCACAGTGCATGTTTAGCTCTGTGTCTCTGGGTAGGTTTGATTATCCACCATCACAGGAGATGAACCCAGGGGAGCTCCTGTGGCACCACTACCCCGGTTCCCTCCTCTCACAATACACGTTTCTATGCACTTTCTGAAGACCTCTTATACACTCACATTTGCCTAACTCTCACACTTACACTCATTAAACATGCTTATCCATATACTTACACATTCATAGTCACATACTCACACCGTCACATTCATGTAATACTCATTCTTACACATTCACATTCTGTCACATTCTTATAATACTCATTCTTATACACACACTCACATCCATGCACTTACGCATTCTCACACTGGCGTACACATCATGCTCACATTCTCACACCCTCCCAGGGGCTGCTCGTGATTGGTGGGACAGGAAGCACCCCTTCCCCACCAGGCCCCTGTGTGGTGCCACTTTTCCTGCTGCAGTGGGGTCTGCAGGTCTAACAGCTTCCCCTTAAGACCCTGCCACATTATAAAGGAGGGACTGTAGCAAACCAGATATTGACTTGGAAACATTCCTCCAGTCTCCCTCTGGCATGGATCGAGGCTTAAATCTGCCTGTCCAGGACCAGAGCAGGGAGAGCCTGGCTTTAGGACAGGAGCCACCAGCTTCGCCCGGGGGGACACTGCTTATTTGGCCACTGCAAGGCCGCCGGCCTTAGGGTAGACAGTGAAGGAAGGGCCCTCTATGACTATGTGGCCCTGCTGCCAGCTGTTTTAGCATGCCTCGTCACTTTCTCCCAAAATCCTGACCACTGGCTTATTTTTTAAATGGGGTTCTCTGTGGAGATGGTGTGGTGGTTTCTGCTCAGGGATTATTTCTGGGTAAGAGTGGCAGACGGCTCCCAGTGTAAGGCTGGCAGAGACCCAACCCTAAACCAAGGACTGGGGTGGATTAAGGGACAGAGGAAGGGACTGAGGGCACAGTGGCCTCCCAGCTCGTCAGTTCCAGAACCAGGCAGCGGTTAGGTTTCTTCACGTCTCTGACCAGTTTTATGAGGTCAAGTGGCAAAGCGTTCTCACAATGACTGACGTGTGACAAGGCTCCAGTCGGGGGCTCGGCATGAAGTCCACCCAAAACACAGACCAGCTGGGATCTGCCACCTGCAGTGAGTGTTTCTTGGGTCGCACACTCGGCCTGGGACTCAAGGCTACCCGGCTCAGCTGCTGGCCAAATCAGGCTCTTTGCCCTGCTCCTGTTGCTCTCTGCGCCCCCACCTCCTCGCTTTTAGCATTTGATAGGTCTCCCCAAATACATTTCAGGCATGATGGCCTCGTGTGAGGCCACTGGAAAACCCAGAGTAAAAAAATTGCAGACCTCCTGACAAGTCAATTAGCATTATATGGCCGCATACAAGAGTGTACCAGCCAAGACACACCCTCCGTCACAGAGGCCTGGGTGGCAGGGGCTGGGAACCTGGGTGAAAAGATAACCACTTCCAGAGTGAGCCCACTGACCACAGCAGAAAAGCTTGGGCAGGCTCCTAGCCTGAGCCGACCATGTCAGAGGGCAGGCTTCTAGCCTGAGCAGACCATGTCTGAGGGCATCCTGGCCGGAGCTCATGGCTAAAGAGACCTGACCTTTAAATCCAGCATCTTCCATTGCCTCAGGGACATTGGAGAACTGGCAATCTGTTCTGGCCTCCCTGAGGGCTCGGGGCCTCTGAGCGGGCTGTCTGCTTTCTCCAGGGTCTAAAGGGCTATCCCCTGCAACTCATCTTCTCAAAATGTCTTCTGTACAATAGTTAGGCCTCCTCTCACCCACCTTTAAAAGAAGAATGGAGGCGGCGGGAAATCACTTAACCTCTGTGACCGCCAGGACGAGAGGCCGGGGGCTCTGGGGCACAGCCCT